TAAGCAAGGTGAATTATGTCCAATAACGTGTCACCACAGTATATTTGTTTGTGTCTGTGTGTTTCATGTATAGGCCTCTCACGATAATTAATTTTGTTGGATACATTTTCCCGGAAATTATTGCGATAAACGATAATATTGTCGGCACCGTTGTAGGACCATTTTAGACCACTGACATAATGATAATATATAATCAGGGCCGCCCCTGGCCAACTTGGGGCCCCAAGCAACATTGTGAGATGAGGCCCCCCCCCCCCACAACCGACAGGAGTGAAACATTTTTTTTTGGAAACAAAGTAGGCTGCTTTGCAAATATAATTCCTGTTTATTATTATTATCAACGCAGTTACTTTTTTATACAGTGAGGTAAATGGTTGTGCATGTATGTCGTTCAGTATGCGTTTACAGGTGAATACGTCTGCATTTCCTGCCAATAGCCTCAAAAAGATTAAAATATAATTAATGCAAATAAACTACTTCTACTAATAATAATAATCATAATCAATTCAATAATATAAATACTATATTATTTTTATTATAATATAGTTGTAATATAGTCAAGACAAAACATGCTTATGACATGCTCAAAAACTGATATTTCTTAAATCTGTATTCTAGTTCCCTCTGTCAGCAATGCATCAACAACTACACACACATTTCTATCAGTATTTCTCTGTGTTGTGGTTGACATGATGATGACTGTTAGGAGTTAAGGGGAGAGGCTGAGCATCACCATGAAATGTGCAAATTGACATAAAAATGAATAAAAGGGGGAAAAATGCTCCATGTTTTGTAGGCTGTAAACTTTAACTGTTATGTAAGCCAACTAGACAGACAGTTTATCACTCTTCCTCCTGTACATTAGCAGATTAAAGGCATCACATACTTGAATTAATGTTAAATAAAGAATGCTGGCAATAACTGCATCTCCATTAGCATATGCTCTGCAGAGACTGCCTTCTTCATGTCGTGAATTGCAGCTGATGTTTTAATATGGCGATTGGCAACATGACATTTGACTTATACAACATTAGCAAGTTGTACATTTCCCTAATACAATAACCCACCTTCGAGTGATGCTCTAGTTTCTTCATGTTTTTTTTCTTTCCCTCTTACATGCGCCGGACTGAAACTGTCTTTTCGCCGACATCTCTTCACCTGCACTAGTGGCCGTATCAAAGCCGTGATTGGTCAGATGTCGATTCATTGCAACGGTGTCGGGTTACACACGTGCTCCCCTTGTCACCTCTCACTCTCACTCTCGCGGGGGGTGCGCGGAGAACTGAGCGGAGAACTGCGCACAACAGCTGAGGCCCTCTGGGCGGGGCCCCCTGCGCAAGGCGGGGCCCCATGCAGCCTGCGTGATTGGCCTGTAGGGAGGGGCGGTCCTGTATATAATAATAATTCAAGTACATACTTTCAAACGGCTAGTCACATCCTCATGTAAATGGCAATTTATCGAGGTCAGAAAAGTTATGCTAAGGTCTCGCTCGACGATAGCAGTCATTTAGTGCGCATATGCGTAATTAAACCCATGATATACAAATCTCACTCCGGCCAGGTACCCAAAGTTGGCAACCCTGCGTTAGTATAGCTGACTAAAGAAAAATATGGTCTCTTGTTTATTCAGGGACTCAGGAGGAAGTGAAGGAAGCTGGAGAAAGGTAAGATAATATGAAATGAATGATAAAACATCAGCAGTTTAATATTATATTATAATGTTGAGGTTAAAGATTTTGTCCAAAAGCGAGGGGCCTTGATTGGTATTTTCTTTAAATTATTTGTAACAGTATGCCAGGGTCCCCCTCATTTTTTTTATATATGGGGGGACCCTAATCAACACATTTACATTTTATATAAGGGGGACCCTTATCAAAAAAGCGACGTATGCATAAATATTCCTTTATTTGCTAAACCCAACTCCATAGGCGTTTCACAAAGATTCTGTCAAGATTTTATTTCCTACACACAAAAATAAAATAGTTGTGGAAAATATATGATGCTGGTTATCTGTGTTCATTTGCAGATAGTACATATATACAGTGGGGCTAAACAGTATTTAGTCAGCCACCAATTGTGCAAGTTCTCCCACTTAAAAATATGAGAGAGGCCTGTAATTTTCATCCTAGGTACACAAAGAATCCAGGAAATCACATTGTAGGATTTTTAATGAATTAATTGGTAAATTCCTCGGTAAAATAAGTATTTGGTCACCAACAAACTAACAAGATTTCTGGCTCTCACAGACCTGTAACTTCTTCTTTAAGAGCCTCCTCTGTCTTCCACTTGTTAACTGTATTAATGGCACCTCTTTGAACTCGTTATCAGTATAAAAGACACCTGTCCACAACCTCAAACAGTCACACTCCAAACTCCACTATGGCCAAGACCAAAGAGCTGTCAAAGGACACCAGAAACAAAATTGTAGACCTGCACCAGGCTGGGAAGACTGAATCTGCAATAGGTAAGCAGCTTGGTGTGAAGAAATCAACTGTGGGAGCAATTATTAGAAAATGGAAGACATACAAGCCCACTGATAATCTCCCTCGATCTGGGGCTCCACGCAAGATCTCACCCCGTGGGGTCAAAATGATCACAAGAACGGTGAGCAAAAATCCCAGAACCACACAGGGGGACCGAGTCAATGACCTGCAGAGAGCTGGGACCAAAGTAACAAAGGCTACCATCAGTAACACACTACGCCGCCAGGGACTCAAATCCTGCAGTGCCAGACGTGTCCCCCTGCTTAAGCCAGTACATGTCCAGGCCCGTCTGAAGTTTGCTAGAGAGCATTTAGATGATCCAGAAGAGGATTGGGAGAATGTCATATGGTCAGATAAAACCAAAATAGAACTTTTTGGTAAAAACTCAACTAGATGTGTTTGGAGGAGAAAGAATGCTGAGTTGCATCCAAAGAACACCATACCTACTGTGAAACATGGGGGTGGAAACATCATGCTTTGGGGCTGTTTTTCTGCAAAGGGACCAGGACGACTGATCCGTGTAAAGGAAAGAATGAAAGGGGCCATGTATCGTGAGATTTTGAGTGACAACCTCCTTCCATCAGCAAGGGCATTGAAGATGAAACGTGGCTGGGTCTTTCAGCATGACAATGATCCCAAACACACCGCCCGGGCAACGAAGGAGTGGCTTCGTAAGAAGCATTTCAAGGTCCTGGAGTGGCCTAGCCAGTCTCCAGATCTCAACCCCATAGAAAATCTTTGGAGGGAGTTGAAAGTCTGTGTTGCCCAGCGACAGCCCCAAAACATCACTGCTCTAGAGGAGATCTGCATGGAGGAATGGGCCAAAATACCAGCAACAGTGTGTGAAAACCTTGTGAAGACTTACAGAAAACGTTTGACCACTGTCATTGCCAACAAAGGGTATATAACAAAGTATTGAGATTACATTTTGTTATTGACCAAATACTTATTTTCCACCATAATTTGCAAATAAACTCTTTACAAATCAGACAAATGTGATCTGGATTTTTTTTCTTTCTCATTTTGTCTCTCATAGATAGTTGAGGTGTACCTAGGATGAAAATTACAGGCCTCTCTCATCTTTTTAAGTGGGACAACGTGCACAATTGGTGGCTGACTAAATACTTTTTTGCCCCACTGTATCCCTCACCTGCTGCCAATAAAATGTCATACAATAAGTACATACAGTGTATCGTAAAAACGACATAGTATACTGTAGCCTACTGTCCCAGAAAAGTCTCTAATATTCATTTTTTTTCTAGTTACTATTCTTTGATTTTTTTTCTGAGACTTTCAAAATACTATACAATGACTTTTTTAGACATAATATACTACACATTGTTATTTTGACATACTATATCTGAATATAATGAAAAAAAGTCATTATTTATAATGTGGAAATAAGTTATTGTATAGTATGTACAAAATAATTAGAAAAAACAATATAGGATAGTATGTCAAAAATATCGGAAATGACACAAAATAAAGTGTGTGGAAAATATCAGAAAAAACAACATAGTTTGTCAAACATACCAGAAAGAATAGTGTATTATGTCCAAAATATCAAAAGAGTCAATAAGTCATAGTTTAGGATGTTGACACAAATATTTTAACAAAAAATATCATGGTATAGTATTTTTAAAAAGATCAGAAAAAACATAGTAAAGTATGTTTAAAAAATGCAACAACAAAAAAGGCATAGTATGTCAAAAATATCAGAAAAAAACACATAGTATAGTATGTCAAAAATATATTAAAAAAATAAACAGTAAAGTATGTTGAAAATATGCAAAACTGTCTGAAACACTTTAAAAAATCATAAACATTATTGTAAGTGTTTTCTTTTTAATATTGGCAGGACCATACTTCCACACACAATATAATGATGCTTCATATTAAATATGTTCTGTTTGGTTAAGGGACAGTGTTTGTTCTTTGTGTTTGATTCGTCTTTCCCAAAACCTTCTTAAATCACATGTCTGTTAGATTTTTCTGACCATCTTGATTTACGATCCATTACAGTTCATTGTTCCGGTTGAAGAACTGCGATCCATTTCTGCTCTTTGATTGGGTGAGCTGCCATATCATTTTTTATGGGTTTATGAACTATCTTGGTTTGCCAGATCTCTCGTGACTTACAGTAAGTGTCAGCAACACCTAGAGCTTATGGTCGATCATAAATACTCTGCCTTAAACGAGATGAATCATAAAAGACTAGTTTGACAGTTTCACGGTGCAGATGGAGTGTTTTTGTTTAAACTGTATAAAGTTATCTTATCTCTGTGGTCGATTCGCAGGCTGTTTTGTGGTAAAGTTTAAAATGTATTGGGAAGTGTGTATTTTCTTGAATTGAGAACTAAGTTAAGGATAACCAATTAACCCGATTACACAGAATTGACTTTAGTGAAGTTAAATTAACAACATAAATAATACATCTATAGGTATTATTAAATCAAATGTTCATCATGTTTAGTGACCAATGCCAATCCAGAATGAAAAAAAGACTTAACACAGATATACACTTTGTTAAGTTCTTTTATTAAGATTTTCTTCTGTACAACAGTTAGAAGTGTATCCGTTACACATGTTAGCTGGTCAGCAGCTCTGTACAACCGTCTGTACAACAGGAAGTCAAACATCACTGAAGAGGAAATGTGTTAATTAAACCGTTTGGTAGAAGGCAGGTCAGAAGAATAGGCATGGATTGATTGAACACACACGCTCGCTCGCACACACACACACACACACACACACCCCTCCAAAGTATTTACATCAAAAGGCTGACTGACCCTTGAGACCGAAGGAGACAAAGGCCAGCTCTAACACATGTCAAATAGTTATTACATACAAAAAGTATTTCAAAGGAAAAAGAACAATACATTTCAAATCATCTATAAAAGGCCCATCTGGAGTTAGTTTATGTACAGTCTCGTTTAAAACAAAGCCCACAGCTTTCTGCTAATAAATCCAAAGTGCTGCTGACCGCAATGAAGTCACACCGTAAACTCCAACAGTGACGCTTCCTGAAACCCTCGTCTTAGTGCTCTGATCAGGGACACAGCAAGTTTAAGCATAAAAAGGAAAATATGTATGTTCAGTCTTGCAAAACTTGCATTGTTTGTCCTTCATCAATTTAGAAATATAATCAGAACTTTAGATTTTAAGTTGTGTTGTGAAATGCCAGACAACATTTACTACCATGGTCAAATATAGTTTAAGTGCATGCTTTTTAACATCGGGCTGAATGCTTTGTAAACTCTTATGTTCACTGAAACTTTTTGCCATTATAGTTTCATTTATCTGTTCAAATTGTCTCATTAGTATTCAGTTGTTACTCCGTATTATTTCCCCATGAAAATAATAATTTAAAATGTTTGGATGAGCTTCAAATTCTCAATGTCATCAATGTGTGTTATTGGGATGAACCCTTGCTGTGCTGGAGGCTGCACACCTGAGGGGAGAAAAGCTGATGTAAAAATGTCCCAATGTGAACATTGTTGGACAAAAAGCTTTAGTTTAATTCTCAGGGGCGACTGATTTGAGGTCAGATCCAGGAGATGTTAGACTTCACACTAGATTCAATATTCTTAACTCAGACCAACGTCATCTTTACCTTTTAATTTAAAGTGCAAATCAGCTGAAATCTGACTTTTACTGACACTCTAATGCTAACGAATTCAGGATAAAAATAAAAGATCAGAGCAGCTTGGTCAGATTTAATAGCCCATCCCTCAATGATGTCTAAAAGTGTATTTCGTAATATGGGCTAGATCTGGATAAATCTATCATAGTACATTTCATAGCAATTTAAAGGCAATCTATCCATTCTCAAAAACTCTAAAAGCCTTTTTCCACACGGTTTCAAGGAATTTCAAAGACTCACTGCTCGACTTGGTGGAAATGTAAGAAACTAAACGTGTGATGTACAGTGTCATTAATCCAACATTATAATCAACAGAAAAAAACATGGTCAGTAAAAAAAAGTTCAATGGTACAGTACGTAATGTGAGGAGTTTGCTAATCTTGCTGTTATGAGGTTTTTTTCATACATGTTAGTGTGTCACTTTAAAATATTAGTACAAACAAAAATGTGAAATCATCTTTAGGTAAAACATATCTATTATCCTCTTTGTCAACCTGCAGCTCTGTGCTTACATATTTATCTTTTGAAGCCTGTAACCAGCCCGCTGAATGGCTTCCAAGATAGAAGAAATAGTCGAGTAAAAGTATAAAAAGAGTTAAGAAAACAAACATGGAATAGTCTTCAGAAAAACACAAATAGCACTGTTTAGAAATGAATCCTTATAAACATGCCTTTGTGATATACAGTATACTCAGAGGTGGGTAAGTAACTAGATTTACTCAACTACTGTACTTAAGTACACGTTTGAGGTACTTTACTTATAAACTAGCTGCACCTTTACCAGCTTTGATAACACAGTAATGCATCAATAATTATAATCAAAACATATAATATATATTATTCTGAAATGGGCCAATCTGCATAACGAGTACTTTTACTTTGTGTACTTTAAGTATATTTTGATGCTAGTACTTTTACTCGATTAACCTTTTAAATTAAGGAGTTTTATTTGTAATGGAGTATTCCTACACTCTGGTACTTCTACTTTTAATTAAGTACAAGATCTGAGTACTTATCCCACCTCTGAGTATACAGTGGTCTCCTCATAGTAAGCCAGCAATTCCTCTGGTGCACCACTAGGGGGCAGTAACAGATGGAGAAGAACATTTGTAAACACAAGGGTCCACGTGAGGAACATTAAAACAGCGAACAAAAAGAGATGTGTAAATGAGTGACTCGTTTCATGTGAATGTTAAACTGCCATTGACAAGTTCAGGATTAATGTCATGCTGGGGCTTCATAAAGTATTAGTCAAGTTGTTTTCTGAATTAAGCTCTGTAAAAATGTCTATTTAATGTGTTGGTAACAGTCAATCCTCACACCGAGGGAGAAGCTGTAACAAAAACAATTCTGGACTTTGAATATTTGTATCTGTATTACTCAGTCATTGTGGCATAAAATATGAAATACTAGCTTGGATGATAAATATAGAGCTTGCTGTACGCAGTTAAGTGACGATATCACTGGGTTTCAAATCATCTCAGTGTCACAGTGTGCTCGATTTGTTCCGATGACAGACTGAGTTTTTAATGAGCTGTGCTGAAACAAGCAGCAACCGCCATGTTTAACAGCTAAATATAAGTATAAGATATCATGGAAAACACCATTTCTTTAGTCATTGAGATTAAGGCAGAGAAAGCAGGTATATCCAGGGCATATTTTCATGATTGACAGGTGTCTCAGCTTGCTGCTTGTCACAACTTGGCTCTGCCCAAAATATGTCTTTATGGCCAAGTAAACATTTATTTAAAACAATCTTATTCTGTGTGGATTTGAGGTCCCTGTGTGTGGAGGTCTGCAGTCTGTTCCTTATTGACTGCTGGGTATTTGTCCGCTGTAATCTCTCTTACGTCCCTCAGCTCACACTAGTTTTGTGATTTCTCCTTTGTTTAAAAGAAGACACAGAGAGCTGCCGCTCGTTTTCACGAACCCTAAATGGAGAAAATGTAACATCAAATGTGCTGGATCTGTTCCCTCGGCACGACAATGGCTGTTTTTCGGAAGGGGCCTCAGGCACAGTCGAAAGAGGACACAATATCAAAACAACACATTTACAAACTGCGGGTAGGTTACAGTGCAACATCAGTGTTGTGTTTTGCTGTGGACCGTGTCCTGGTGTAATTGCTTTCTTAATTGTTTTGCGAATCCAGCTGCAGGCCTGCACATTTAAAAAAAGAAGCTCACTGGAAGAACTCCAGAAATGTTGATCAAACTATTTGCATTTTCTCCGGCAACATTTGACCAAATCAATAACAAAAATCTGTTGCTTTCTGCTGCTTTGAACTGAGCACCCCAACATTCTGAAATCCTCTTCTTCTCCTCCTCCTCCTTGTAAGACACATCCGGGTCTGTTTCCAAAGGCTTTCTGACCTCTGACCTCTGCCCTGTCGCCCTCTCCCACCTCAAGGTCAACTCTGGAGACTTGAAATGTGTGTGTGAGGTTTGAAACCCCCTCCAGTTCAGTTCTAGTCCCTCAGAGAGCGGCTCTGGTCCGTTGCAGAGCTGAGAGTTTTAGGACTTCTGCTCGGGGGGGGGCCGCCGGGGCAGCAAGGCTCTCAGGCTTCACTATCTGGTAGGTGATCAAGTATTCTGGGTAAGCCTGTGGACAAAGACACATACCATCTCAGAACAACTTCATTATGTTTATAATGATAGACATATATCAAAAGTATAGTTTAATACTACTTGTATTATTGATATTTTTTAATGCTAAACTTCTACATACATCAATTGCAGAAAACGAAATAATTATTATAAATTCATTTTGAGGATTTTCAGTTTCTCTAGAAATAGAATTTTTTCGGATTTTTGTTTGTTGCTCTATTCGAAGACTATTCCAGGAAATGTGATAGCAATGTTAAACTGTTATATATTTGAGACAAATGACAATTAAATCAAAGTGGTGCAGTCGATATGTATTGCTGACATAATTTTCGTCACTATACTAAGACTCTTTGAGCATCAGGAAAAGTGCTTTCTCAAGATCTTGTATCATTATTATATTTTAAAATATATAACAAAACGGTAAAATCTTGTAAGCTTGAATTAATCATAGTCCTTACTTCAGCCATCTAATCAAGAACTCATTCAAAAAACCATTGCAGATTTCAAGTGTTAAATAGTACCAGGTTAGGCACTCTTTCCTGCACCACTATATAGTCCACAGATTATTTAAACATTTAAATAAAAGCATCACTACTTGTTTCTGAAAGGAAGTGTGTACTGACCTGCTCCCCTCTGTAGATGACGTACTCTGCGTAGGCCAGTCCGTTGACGCTGGGTCTCCCGATCACTGAGTGGTGTCCGGGGGGGGCGTGGGCCATCTTCATGGCACTGAACTGGAGGAAGGACTTCCCCAGCGTCACTCTGCAGAACAGCATCTGCCTGAAATGCAAACACACAATATCAGGCTGTCAATGGTTAGCTCACATAACTCATATACTGTCTGTTTAAATTCTACAATCCTTTTTTTGATTGAATAAAATCATAAAATTCCCGATTTCTTTGTTTCCCATTGTTCTATTATACATAATAATAGTACATTCTAGTCATTTGATGTGCTGGGCTGTTTTGCACTACCAGGAAATGATAGAAGAGCAGATAGACATTTATCAAAATGTAAGCTTTGGAGAAAACAGCCAATTGTTTCTTTGTGCAATGCATTGTGGGACAATCTAGTCCATCAAAAAGTTGAGTGGACTAAGTATGTATAGCCACATCTTTCAGTAAACTGGTCATTAAGGATTTCCTAATCAGACCCTGATTAGACTTAGTTTGTATTGTGGAGTTGGGACACGGGTAATATTTCTTCTAAACTAAAGAGTCATCTCACCTGTGGCACACGTAGCAGGAGCGGTCTTTGTGGGTGGGACATCCCGTGCCTCCACCAATCCCATACACGTACTGGTTGCTCTTTGAGGAGTTCTCAGCAAAATAGATCCCGGCGCCAAACATGCCACCGATGTAGGCGTGTCGCTCATCAAAGCCCTTATGGATGATGGCATTGATGAAAGGGGAACCTGGCAGGAGAAGAGACACATATTAGGCCATAAAACCACAAACACATGAAATAAACTCTGCATGGGGGGGGGGCAGGGACGCTTCCTTTATGGCCATCTGGAAAACCTCCTTGTGTTAGCTGCCAATACCAATACAGCAATTTGAATTTGATTAAAACAAAGTGTCTCTCGACAGCCTACCCCAGGCTGTAAATCACAAATAAATAAAAGCTCAAGTTTAAAGGAAGCAGAGAAGGCAGAGAGATTGAGATACTGTTGAACTTAATGTTACTCTGGGAAATCCACGATCTGGGAGACTTTGAACATGGTGTGTCCGTTGGTGCTAGACGCACAATTTCAGGCATCAGTGAAGCCAGACGACTTCCTGGGATTTTCTTCTCTGCAGTGTTTAAAGTTTTAAAGGATCAGAACTCTGCTGCAGTCCTGAGGGATGTGTCCTGGCGGAGCCTTGGTGTTGGAAGTGGACATGGAGGATTAATAACCGGATGTCCTTTGCTGATAACATCAACAACAACACCGCTCCCGTGGAATCAATCACCTCGACGTCAGGGGGAGGCGCAGCTTCTCCAGGCTCCTGTCCTTTCTTGCCGAGTGTACCAATGTACCCAAAGGTTGGAATGTACCGGCTATAAATGTTGTTGGGTTTGCTCAAACTTTAAGTCAGCCTGTAAGTCTGAAAACATTGCAGCACGAAGCCAAGTTCATCTCGGAGCACTGGAGTGACTGAACGTTGGAGCAGAACACTATGCTGGGTTTTTCTTCTGTCAACTAAGACGAAGTGACTGAAGCTATAGAGATGTGATTACAACTTTATAAAGAGAAAAAACTACTTCCAAATTCAACATATTCTTCTTTGTTCATTTGAATCTTTAAGATGTTGGTGCATTTTGAAAGCCTCTTTAAAAAAGCAGCAGAGAATCTTTGAGATATGGAGGACGTATCTCAAAGTAATTCTAGTTTTTTTCTGAGAGACAGATCCAAGAGAACAGGAACATCCATCATGAATTTGCCTCTCTAGCCTTTGGCTGCGTCACTATATTCCAAAGCGGTTAAACAGCTCTAGGATATGAACACATGTTGACAAAGAAGATAACTTCATTACATTGTATTTGAAAAGTAAATCAACACGCTGTTGGATTCCCTAATATATAATAATAATGCATTTTATTTATAGAGCGCTTTTCTAGAAACTCAAAGACACTTTACAGAGTTAAAAATCCTAAAAACATAATTAAAACACACTTAAAATATATAAAACACAATATTAAAAGCAGTTTGTGATTTAGTGATATAGTTATAAAAACTCCACCCCCCTGAACTATAGTGCGTGTTTACCGTGAAAGAGCATCCGCTCGTTGTGATGGTTGTGATTCTCGTCTGCTATTTCCTTTTGTCTGTGTGAATATCTCTCCCGGAGCTTCTTATTCACCACCTTCTGAATCTGCAGTCAGGGAAATGAAAGGAGAAGCAGAGTTAGGGATGAAGAGTGAATTAAGTATTCAAATGGATTTTCAAACACAACAACTTCCATCTTTGTAAGTGAATTAACTCGTGTGTAATGAAAATGGAAACTGGTGTAGTGTTGTCAGTACCCACCTTAATGATGTTGTACCGGCTGAAGACCCCCCCCGCGTTGCCTCCGTCGCGATGCTCTCGGATAGTGCTCTGAAGCTGAGGGGAACAGACAGGAGGCGATTAGAATACCTCACTTAAGCAAAGCTTTTAAGGTTGAAATGGGAAATGTGTGGGATAAAACATGCCGATGGGATGCAGTTTCATTGAGTGATTCGTAGCTCTACGAGGACTCGTTCTCTACCTCTATCGGCAGTCTGGGAGTGTTTTTATAGTCCGAAAAATGATTATGCCCACCTCAGTTATCAATTCAAACTGAGATTACCTTTTGAAAGTGTTCTGTTAACTCTGATGTTTTATTATTTATAGATGTATATCTGGTGTTTGAGCCCTATTAGTTACGCCTAGCTAAAACTAATGCATACTTACACTTTATTTATCCCACGGAAAATTGGGTTGTGTGACAGTTTATCCAATTTAGAATGAAATAACGTAATAGTTTAAAACATTTAAATAGAAACAACAAAAAATATGTATATAAACATAATCAATTAAATTAAGTGTCTACTTTAAAATAGATATACCGAGTTATACAATTATAAAAATAGATATGTTATATCTTGTATCCATCTTAAAACGTGTTCATCAATCTTGAACAACACTGTTATAAACCCTGACAGAAATGATGAATAACTATAAAATACGATTTTAAATATATACGCAGCGCTCAATTTATCATTATAAACAGACCAGATGACCGTGTCATTTTTCAGGATCTCATGTCATAATTACAGATTAAATCACCCGTTAGCATCTGACGGTGCTCATTCATTTCACACACGTTCAGAGTGATGTCTGCTGTCTACTTCAGTTACCGCTTTCATTTAGAGGGAAATGTAGTCAGAGGAGCAGGAGGTGACAACGTCTCCTTTACCAGAACTTCAATGACCAGACTGCTATAAACTCATGAGTGTAGAGATGGGAACGCGTGTCGTTTGTGTGCGTGTTCGTACTTCTTCCTCCACAGACTGGAACTCCTTGTCGTCCGTTGCCAGGTCGATGAGCACGGTGCCCTGGCTGGAGCAGTGGAACGTCAGGTACGGGTTTGCACCTAAAATACACATTTAAAAAAGGGGTATTCAGACCACATGAAGGATAAAAGATGAAACCATAAAAAAGAAAAATCATTTACAACAGCTATACTTCCATAAATAACAAAAAGAGAGTGATGTATTCATGTATTTGGTTAGTCACTATGTCACTATTGGTGATGATGAACGTGTGTGTATGTGTCACTGGGTAAATGATATGATCTGGGTACCTGTTAATCCCAGTGTGTAAAGTAATTGAGTCTTCATTTCAGTTGACTGCAATTCAACGCAATCCAACCGTAACTCAACCGTTAGTCTATATTTTGGTTTTGCTACTACAAAAGTATCATGTACGCAATTTCCATGTGTGTGAATGGAAAGGCGTGCAACTACGAACTATTGTCCTTTTGTTTGGATACGCCAAACGACCTCCTTGCATTAGCCAATTGGATTTCCAGTGTTGTCTATTTTTATTTCAATACAGTGAATCTGATAAAAGGAACAGGTGTGTGTGTGTGTGTGTGTGTGTGTGTGTGTGTGTGTGTGTGTGTGTGTGTGTGTGTGTGTGTGTGTGTGTTTCCTGACCTTGCTGGCCTCCCAGCAGCCTCTCGATGCCCTTGATGAGTTTGTGTCTGTGACCGTAAGCGTTGATGCCAATCTCCTTCAGCTCCTCGTGACCCATGTCTGCCAGCACGTCCAGCGAAATCTGCCCGGAAACAACACACACCTCAGTCAGTCCGGCTTCTGGTTGTCTTTTGTCAAAAGACTGTAAATTGAAAGTAAGAAAAACATTTCATAATCATAGTATCAAATAACTATTCAAACCATATTTCTGTTAATACATCTGTCAACTTAAATCAAATGTTTGTCACTACGGCAACGGCTTTAACTGATCAGTGAGATTGCCAACAATACAGAACGTTTAAGGAGCTAAGACATATCAGAGAGACAATGGGCCATCAAATATGGATGAATATTCATGAGAGAAAGATAGAAGCAGCATGAAGAAAAGGTCAGTGAATGAACGGCAGTAATCAAACCATTGAAATGCAAATGGGGACGGTGAAGTTTGCAAGTATTTTGAGGCGCTTTTAAACGCTGACCTTTACCTACGTTCCTCTGTATAGCTGTGATTACTTTAATAGCTGTTTTTCATCATAGCTTAAATACTGCTGGGAGTTTACTGAGACTTAACAGAAACTTGGAATTGTTCTGTTTTTCCTCAGTAAACTGATGACAAAAACCTCAGTTTCATTTTTAGAAATCACAGCCAAGAGATGAAACCTTTAGGGGGCCGTAACCTCTCACACCAATTTGAGTTCATCACCTTAAACAACAGAAATGAAACCTCTGCCTGGATCTCATTACTAGCTGACACTTAAAGCTGCCATCTCACACTTTACAAAAGTACATCAGCACAAACTGCCACCAAGAATCTCCAGCTAAATAACTTCTTATATGTAGTTAGAATCGCTTCGTCTTGAAACATGATTACGTTATTTTTGCACGAAGGGGCTACGACTAGACTGTAATAAGAGAATCACTTTGTGTCGACAAGTGCCTTTTCCACAACAGAGAATCAGCCTTTGGGCTTTACACAGGGAACAGATGCAAGAGCAGAACCTTTTGAATCATTAGAGCTTAATGTTTCTGGGTTTCCAAAGTGAAGTTTGATCATTGAAAGCATAGTGAAGTTAAATCTCTTGAAGCTTTGTACACTCTTCTGTATGAATCTGAGTTCTAGTTATTAGTGAGATTAAAAGGGGTTCCGTTAACACCGAGCTGGCTGTCACCGCCATCTCACTCCTCTCATCTGGATATTCATGATGGTGTGTTTTCCTTTATGAACACAAGCACACATCCTACTACCTATGGCTTATCCAAGTCCTTCTTTGTGAAGCCTTTTGATCTCCGTCACATTTCAGTGTTACTTTCTATATCTGTCTTTTCTTTCTTTCTGTCTGTATTCTTCATATTTCTCCTCAAGCCTCTCTTCCTCTTTCTTGTTCTCTCCCTCCATCCATCTGTATCCTTCTTCTGTCTCTGTTGCTCCTCTGACATCCCCACTCACAATTTTGACACAATTGACAGCTGAGTCCGATGGGATTATAATTTAGTTTGCAAGTATTTAGCTATTAAGCCATACTAATCCATTAAAGTGAAACAATTGAAATGTTGATGGCCCTAGATAGAATAAAAAAAAGTAAACGGATCACCAAAGTGATTACAGTTCATCCTAAGGGGAACATGGATGTCTGAAACCGTTTTCATGGCAACCCATCTGCTGTTGAGATAACTCAGTCTGGACCAAAGTGGTGGACTGACAAAACCAAAGGAAGGGCCAAAGGAAAGAAAACTGAGAGATGAGTTCAAACCAAGACCGAAAAAGTATGTAAACCTGAAGCGAATGAACTACGAGAATACAAAATATTTCCATTATAAAAATACTTTGTTTGCAATCTCTCCTTGTAACTCTTTCCAACTTTCATCCTCTCCCGTTGTTCACACCTCGTGCTGTTCCCTCTCACTTTGATTTCCCCCTAAACACTTAAAAGGACGTACCTGTTCCCGCTGGAAGGTTTCTCTGAGGTGTTCCAGCCCGAGGCTCTTCAGGAACTGGTTGATGGTCATGTCGAGCAGAGCTGCAGAAACACATCAGCGTGGTTATCAGTTGTGACACAGTATTGTAGTAAATGTATCATTAAGTCTCATTTAAGTATTTAACTTCCTTCTCTGGTTTGATTTTCCTACAGTTTGAATTCACATCTAGCTACTAATTCTCACTTATTTTCGACCATTGTTAGGATTGATATTAGACACTTCCTGTAATGTACATTGCCTTGCTGAGATCTTCACTTTCCCTTTGTTTTGAGTGTATAAAGTGCTTGTATTTTCTGATCTAGTACTAACTTGCTGGTGTTAGACTCTGTCCTTTCAGCTGAAATAGATTCACTTTTTTGACTTTATTAAATAACAAAATGTTGCTTTAAACTTCTGTTATTCGTTCATTTCTTAACCAACAGGTTGTTTTTGTGTCGAATTTCCTCCACACACAGGTTGACTCAAAAACAGTTCTCATTAGAAGAGAACCAGACTTTGATTCAAGATGAAACTGTACATACTTTCTCCTTCCTTCCTGTCCGACCCAGACGCTCCATCAGCTGGTCCGGTGGCCCCGCCCACAGTGAGGTCACTGAGGGACGTGGTCAGGTTGTCGAGGCTGCTAGCAGCAGACAGGCAGGAGGGGGATGGAGATGGAGAGACGCCCCCTGCCGCACCGGCACCCCCCACACTAGCACTCACCTGAGAGAGGGAGAGGAGATTTGGTTCAATGGACCAATGGGTCAAATTGAATCACTAAACTCCTATACTGACTGACTGACAGTTTACAACTCTTTACAGTGCAATCTCTACCAGCTGCTTTCATTGTTTATAGCTCAACAGACATTTCATATGTTACGGTACACATGACTTCATATTTAGATTTTCTATAATTAAGTCATTTTTCATGCTAAAATGGCTAAAAACTCTTTATTCAGCCTCTTACACAAATGAATACATCTAGAATACAATCAGCAGATGAATTGTTGATTAAAATAGCAATAGATGCACCCTTAGCTTTCAATTGAAAATATAATGTTTAATGCATTCAGTTGTTTTAAGCGTTAACACTTCTTACAGTAATACAATGTTAATTCTCACACTTGCTTCAGCTTATTATAATAATGAGCGATTTAGCATAATTTCCACATATGTTAGCAGTTTTTTCTTACAGCTAACACGTAATATGGCCACTACAAGATTAAGTTTCATCGAATAGCCCTTTGTCTGTACTTGTATGTCAGTGTCCACACTCACCACAGTGGCCTGGGGCTTCAAACAGCTGGGCAGGGCATCGGGAGGCATGGCGTCAATCAACAACGCTCTGATGTCATCAGCCTGCGACAGACAAAGAGACAACAACATTGTTAATAAACTATCCAGCTAAAACAAAGTATTTACTTCAATTTTAATGTAATATAATGTTTTTGTATGAACTGACAATAATGTGTAGCAAATATCTATCCTCCTAAAGTCTGCTGGTTACCCGGATGTCATGAATTGAGCAAGAGTGGGCTTTGTTTCTAATGAACTTCATTTCTCACTGCCAAGTTGCATGTGTTTGGATTGTTTATTAGTGCCTTGAAATAACTGCCAAGAAGAGCAACACAACGCCTCATCAAATGAACACGCACCACATGAATAGTGGGGGAACATGCCTGATTTAAAAACTGACCTGCTGTTAATTTCAAATCAAATTGCCTATTGTCAGCTCTTCAGTTAAACGCACTTTGAAGGAGCAGTTGGAATATTCCAGCTGTCCTTCGAAGTGAGGTTCAGTTTGACCGTCTATAAATGATCACTGTTCAGCACACTGCTACTTATGTGTTAAACAACATGGCTTGTTATTTATAGTCAACAATAAAACGCTACAAGCATGTTCTGTCCTCTAATCTGTAGATGCATTGTGATAATATTAGCAGCATCACAAGTTGATCCTCCTGTAGACATCAGCAGGAGGGACGTGTTATTCCCTAGGGAACACCGGCAAACTATGGTACCTACAGGCAAGGAACCTTATTAGGAGGCTTATTAGGAAGCCTCATTAGGGAGCTAGAAGTTTTGACGCTACCTGTCTCACCCTTAAAACCCTTCTGTCTGATTAGTTTCTCATAACCAGTCAAACATCAGTTTTGCTAATGATATCACCGTTGGCTAGCTCATAACAGGAATCGGGCGCCTAATATGGAGAAATGAGGGCGGATTCTGAGTATGATTTCTTCTAAAAGCCTCTCATACCGTTGCTAAGTCGAGCGGCGTCTGCACCTCCTGGTTCTTCATGGTGGGGTCGGCTCCATGGGCCAGCAGCAGAGCGCAGAGCTGCGTCCGCCCCTTCTGCGCAGCCTCATGGAGGGGAGTGAACGCCCACTTGTCTGTGGCGTTGACGCAGGTGTTGAACTTGATCAGCAGGGCGGCGATATCCACGTGCTAGACAGAGGGGAGGAAAGAGGAAAATAGATTAGAAAATGAGAGCAGAAAGAATCGCAGGTGGTGGGAGGATGGAAGAGAAACAGCAGCAATCAAGGGAAATTAATGAAGCCATGGTGTAAGAGTGCTATAAAAATCACCATCTACTTTTTATTTAAATGTGTGTGTGATTTGTCTGGAAGAGAAACTGTGAATTATTAATTTCATCATCATTCTTGTTTTCCCGCTGGTCTTTATATATACAGTCTATGGTCTTTCCTTGCCTTCTCTTCCTGTTCTTTTTTTCCTCATTGTGTCTCCGGCTCTTGTCTTAGCGTCAAACACAATGTAGCTTGTCTGGAGTACCAGCGGGGGATCTTAAAGAGTGTGAGAGAGAGTGTGTGTGTGTGTGTGTGTGTGTGTGTGTGTGTGTGTGTGTGTGTGTGTGTGTGTGTGTGTGTGTGTGTGTGTGTGTGTGTGTGTGTGTGTGTGTGTGTCTAAAACGCACAGCTCATCAAGTTTTTATTCATGACTCTTACAGGAGCAGGATGTTGTTAACCTATAAGCCAAATATGACAGAGGCAACCAAGGACAACAGATGGAGGAAAAACTACTTGCATGTATTTTTGAGAATTATGTCATAATAAGGTTAATGATAATTATATAAATTGGGAAGTAGGGCGGAATTAATATGGTTCTTACCATCCCACGTAAACTGAAACAAATATCTGCAGGCATTAACTGAGCTGTGAACAGCAAGACGCTTTCAGTCTCCATCAGCACTAAGTAAGCAACAATATTCCACATTTGGGATATGCATCCTACATGAGACTGAGATTTAAAGTCTTAAATAATAAATAACAAATGTTGCTTTGACAGTTGGCAAACTTTACGATGTTTATCTAAGTCAATTCATTCTCCCAGTGTTTTTTATTTAGCAGTTATTCCCAAAGAATTATTGCAAAACTACGTCACCAAAGCCCAAGAGGATGTCGTCAAATTGCTAGTTATCATAAAAAGATCTCCAGACACAAATTGTTAAATAAAAAAACTGGAACCACTGAATATTTGGTTTTCTTGGTATTTTTTTATCAATTACTTGATCATACAAATTGTTGTGCCATTAAGTAAAAGCCTAATTTGTTTCAGCACTTAATGGAACAGTTAATACTTTTATTGGATACGAGTTGACAACAAGTATGTGAGCAGCACGGTCCTCAAGACTGCAGTGTTGCCAAATAACGTGTGTGTGTGTGTGTGTGTGTGTGTGTGTGAGAGAGAGTGAGTGAGTGAGTGAGTGAGTGTGTGTGTGTGTGTGTGTGTGTGTGAGAGTGAGTGTGTGTGTCTCACCCCGTATGAAGCAGCATTGTGTAAAGGTATGAGCCCTCCTTTGTCCTGTGCATTCACATCGGCTCCATGTTCCAGCAGGTACTCTGCTACCTCCAGGTTATTATAGCCCGCTGCACAGTAGAGAGATAGTCAGATAAATAAGGGAAAAGGAGAAACTAAATAAAGTCAGGTAAGGAGAAAGGAGGAAAGACAGTGGCCGTATCTCATTTCAAAGATTTCCCCTCCTTGACTCCTCGGTCCTCCGGTAGTGACCCGGAAATGAATTTCAGCGCACCATGTTGAAGGACATCTCATTTCTCTAAATGCACTTCGAGGACCGAGGATCGAGCGTCGAGGAGGCTCTCTAGAGGAGCTCTAACCGAGGATACACTGATGGGTCCTCCACGGCTCCTTCGTGGATGCATTTCCGGGAACAGAGATGTTTCAAAGAGTCGTGACGCACGGCCGGAATTATCTCAGACAGCTCTGCATGCATCCCGTGGATATTATTTTATTAACTGCTTTCATCACGACGCGATGTTTACAGAGAGAACAGCTGAGAGGTCCATGCAGAAAGCAGAGCAGTGTGTATAATATATATATCACTCAGTATAACAGGCCTACTCTCTTTATTTGCTTTAGTTTAGTAGATATCTACAAACAAAGAGTCGATCTTTTTAAAAACCATTTAGTGCTTCACATAATAAAATACACAACGGCTGCAGCCTGATTATATGCTTTAGGAGTGTGTGGTGTAGGTGTGTGTGGTACAGTGTGTAGGTGTGTGTGTGGTACAGTGTGTAGGTGTGTGTGTGGTACAGTGTGTAGGTGTGTGTGTTGTACAGTGTGTAGGTGTGTGTGTGTTGTACAGTGTGTAGGTGTGTGTGTTCTGAAGAACTCAGTGTGCATCTAGACCGGGTGACGACACTACCTATCGATGCAGCAACCACTGTAAGTTATATTCTTGTTTAATTAGACTTCTCTGTTTCATTTATTCTATTCTGTATAATTGTTATGTAGTTATTGTAGCTAAAACGGCACTTTTGAGAGATTTTAAATCTCAGATCTGCTCAAGTGAACCTGTTACACAGGTCGCAGTGGGGCACTCAAGCTGCATTACAATATAGGCAGGGCCAGTCTGCTGTCGCCCATCAGCTGTAGAGAGTTAACTAATTAGAGGGGCGTGGCCCCACAGCTGTGAGAACTCAGCAATCAGGCATCCATTTTAGGTAGCTCTCTCCTGGAGCGTCAGCTTCAGCGTCAGACAGCCGAAGACATTGGAGTCCTGCTGGAGTAAGACTGACAAAGACATTGGAGTCCTGCTGGAGTAAGACTGACAAAGACATTGGAGTCCTGCTGGAGTCACGAGGGTGGCAAAGAGGAGGCAACTCCTACTCTGATTGAGCTAACTACCGCTGGTGTCTTATTTCTCTTTTCTTTAGTTTTCTAGCCCCTCATGCTATAATCATGTGTATTTTCTCCATTCCTGTTCATGTGTCTTCTCGCAATTATCACTGGCCCCGTGTATCTCCTAATCGCTATAACCGGCCTGCTCTCGTCTATCCCACATGCTCCACTGAAATCCAACATCTAGTTTCAGGTGGCCTGTGGAACTGCCAGTCAGCTGTTCCTAAGGCTGACTTCATCTCTGGCTACGCCTCCCTGCAGACCCTGGATTTCCTTGCTCTCACTGAGACCTGGATTACTCCATTCAACACATCCACCCCAGCAGCTCTCTCCGCAGCATATTCCTTCTCCCATACACCCAGACCCACTGGCAGAGGAGGTGGCACTGGTCTCCTGCTCTCTCCCAAATGGAGCTTTTCCCTCTTCAAGCTACCTAACTTCACTCCTTCCACCTTTGAATTCCATGCCGTCACAGTAACCCATCCTATACAATTAACCATTGTTGTTCTCTACCGTCCACCAGGCGCCTTGGGGGACTTCTTGGAGGAATTAGATAATCTCCTCTCACACATCCCTGAAACTGGCCCTCCCGCTGTACTTCTCGGAGACTTCAACCTCCAGACAGGGAAGATAGACGAACTAACATCTCTGTTAACCGCCTTTGCTTTCTCACTGTCTCCTTCCCCACCAACTCATAAAGCTGGCAATGTCCTTGATCTCATATTCTCAAGGAACTGAGCTACTTCTAACCTCTCTGTAAACCCGCTCCACATATCCGATCACTTCTTCATTTGATTCTCTCTACCCCTTTCCAAACATAACAAACTAATCTCTTCTCATCCTGCACCTGTCCGCCGTAACCTTCGTTCCCTCTCCCCCCCTACCTTTGCCTCGTCGGTGCTCTCAGCCCTCCCTTCCTCTGACTTGTTGCAACTCCTGCCTCCAAACTCTGCTGCAGAAACTCTCCTCTCTACTCTCTCATCCTCTCTGGATTCTCTCTGTCCTCTCACATCCCGGCAGGCTCGTCAGTCCCCTCCTGCTCCCTGGCTAAATGACGCACTGCGTGCTAATAGAACCGTCCTTAGGGCAGCAAAGCGGAAACGGTGGAAATCCAAACACCGTGACGACCTCCTAACCTATCAGGCTCTCCTCTCCTCTTTCTCTGCTTCGATCTCTCAGGCAAAAAGCACTTTCTTTCAAGATAAGATCCAATCTTCCTATTCCAATCCCAAAAAAATATTTTCCATCTTCTCCACCCTCTTGGACCCTCCCAAAGCCCCTCCCCACTTCTGTCAAGCGACTTTGTTAACCACTTTGAAAAAAAGGTTGATGATATTCGCTCTTCTTTTTCTGACTCACCTTTACTCACCGCTGGGTCACCAGACCCTCCTTCCACCCACACACTAACCTCCTTTTCCCCTCTCTCTCCAAGTGAGGTTCTCACCCTCATTACCTCTGCCCGCCCTACCACCTGTCCTCTGGACCCTATCCCTTCAAACCTCCTTCAGACTATCGCTCCTGATATTCTACCGTTTCTCACCCATTTCATCAACACTTCTCTAACTTCTGGTCACTTTCCAAACAGTCTCAAGGAGGCAAGAGTAAACACTCTCCTAAAGAAACCCACTCTCAACCCGTCTGATGTTATAAACTACAGGCCTGTCTCTCTCCTCCCGTTCCTGTCTAAATCACTTGAACGCGCTGTCTTTAAACAACTCTCCTGTTATCTCCATCAGAACAACCTTCTGGATCCGCACCAGTCTGGTTTCAAGGCAGGTCACTCCACAGAAACTGCTCTCATTGCTGTCACTGAGGAACTGCACACTGCCAAAGCAGCATCCCTCTCCTCTGTCATCATCTTGTTGGACCTGTCTGCTGCATTCGACACGGTGAACCATCAGATCCTCCTTCACACTCTCCAAGAACTTGGAGTTTCAGGCTCTGCATTTTCCCTCCTCACCTCGTACCTCAAAGACCGTACCTACAGGGTGACTTGGAGAGGGTCAGAGTCCGACCCTTGTCAATTAACTACAGGGGTCCCTCAGGGCTCTGTTCTTGGTCCCCTCCTCTTCTCCCTGTACACAAACTCGCTCGGATCAGTCATTAGCCCGCATGGTTTTTCATACCACTGCTACGCTGACGACACCCAATTAATTCTGTCCTTTCCCCGCTCAGAGACCCAGGTCGTCGCACGCATCTCTGCTTGTCTAGCTGACATCTCTCAGTGGATGTCTGCTCATCACCTCAAGCTCAACCTTGACAAGACTGAACTGCTTTTCCTTCCGGGAAAAGATTGTCCCACTCTTGACCTGACAATCAACATCGGCACCTCTGTTGTTTCCCCGACTCAGACTGCAAGGAATCTGGGTGTGATCCTAGATAACAACCTGTCCTTCACTGCAAACATCGCTGCTACAACCCGCTGCTGCAGATACACACTTTACAACATCAGGAAGATACGTCCCCAGCTGACACAGAAAGCAACGCAGGTTCTGGTCCAGGCTCTCGTCATCTCACGCCTAGACTACTCCAACTCCCTCCTGGCTGGTCTACCTGCATGTGCCATCCGACCTCTGCAGCTCATCCAGAATGCAGCGGCTCGTCTGGTCTTCAACCTTCCTAAATTTTCCCACACCACTCCGCTCCTCCGCTCCCTTCACTGGCTTCCGGTAACTGCTAGAATCCACTTCAAGACACTGGTACTTGCATACCATGCTGCGAATGGATCTGGCCCTTCCTACATCCAGGACATGGTTAAACTGTACACCCCAGTGCGTGCACTACGCTCTGCATCAGCCAAACAACTCACTGCACCCTCGCTGCGAGGGGGACCCAAGTTCCCATCAGCAAAAACACGTGGGTTTGCTATCCTGGCTCCAAAATGGTGGAATGAGCTCCCCATTGACATCAGGACAGCAGAAAGCTTGCACATCTTCCGGCGCAGACTGAAAACTCATCTCTTTCGACTCCACCTCGAGCGATATAATTACTAACAAAGAACTGCTAACAGAGCAATTATATACTAATAAAGGACTGGATTATCTATAGCCAGTTGAGTAGCACTTGAAATGTTTGGCTCTATGAAACCTGATGTACTTATATGATTCTGTTTTCTTCAAGGTTGTGTCTTCCTGGTCGCATGTACTTATTGTAAGTCGCTTTGGATAAAAGCGTCAGCTAAATGTAATGTAATGTAATGTTGTACAGTGTGTAGGTGTGTGTGTTGTACAGTGCGTAGATGCAGTGGACAGACAGGTCTCAGTTGGTTTGGTGTCCTCTGCTTACTTTTAATACTTGTAAATAAAAGTTTTGGCCCGTAATTTATTTTCCTCATTGTAGCGACCAGAGAGGGGGGGGGATATATCCAGTCTCTGATAGTGTTACGTTATTATGAGAGTGCTCTCATACTTGTTTGATTCTGAAATTGTATATATTTATATAAATATGTGTGTAAGTGTGTGTGTGTGTGTGTGTGTCCGCATCTGTAGCCTGTTATTGTCTCATTATACCGCACTGTGAATGAATTAAAAGTAAATATATAAGTCGTCATGAACACATCTGTCCTCCTGTCATCATTGATGGACGTCTCTTTAAAATGACCGCTCAGAGGAGAGGAGTTCTCATTTCTCTAACCGCCTGCTGCTTCCCCTCCTCTCTCCTCGGTTCCTCTGCTCGCATCTCCTGAGGGCGGGACTAAGTCTCGAGGATAGGAGTCGAGGAGGGGAATCTCAGAAATTAGATACGTCCAGTGTCAGCCTGCATAAGCTGCAGCACGACATCCTATAATCATCTTTTCCTTTTACAAGCAAGGCAGAGGGTGCGTGGGTTTGTGTCTAAATGGTCAGCGCTGTGAAGAAGCTGCAGTTTCTTAACTTTAAAAATGCCACTCATGCTGCAAAAATTGTTTCGTATTAAGATCCTGTTAAGAAACACAGGAACAGATTTTGTATGGATTATATGAAGAAACACTGCAGGCATTTACCTTCAACCCCTGACAACCACGGTGTAATTCCAACATTATGATAACACGTTAACCACTGGGGTGTGACCTTATTTAAGATTAAGAGACCATAGTTTAGCCTAACCTTAAGCGAGCTCTCACAAAATTCCTTTGTAATCTCCCCATCGTGTCAGAGTGTGTGCCCGTCGTTTAATGGCGGTCTTGATAAGTAAATGTACCAAGCACAAAGATAAAAATATGCTATCTAAATATTGCTACTCTCTGACATTTAAAGGTGCGGTTCAAAGACATTTCTGTCTCATGTTTATGCAGAGTGGTGTTATCTCTGAAGCTTATCACGATTACAGAACCTGAATAAATCCAGTGTGTGTGTGTGTGTGCACCTTAGAAGACCCACAGTATCTCTGCTTTCAGGGTTTAAAACTTCATCAAGTTTGTGTGAGATCCAAGGTCGTTATATAGAGTACGCTATAGATACTAGTTTTATGTCGCCATAAAAACAACAACACATTGCCCTCATCCTGCCTCCCCTCACTGCTCCCGGTGCATTTAACTACTTATTTTAGGATCTTGCAGATTGCTTTAGAGGCACTGCGTGGTCAGGCTCCCAGGTATATTTCAGAGATGCTGAACCCCTTTGTTTGGTTTGGTTTCTTTTAGCAGAGTGCACCGTTTCACTGTTTTTCTATGTGGTTTTAACTGTTAAAAAACGATGTCTATCTGTAACATGAATTACCTTAATTTATTTGTTAAAGATTAAAGGGGCCCTATTATGCTTATTTTCAGGTTCATATTTGTGTTTAGTGCCTCTACTGTGACATGTTTACATGCTTTAATGTTCAAAAGCTCTTTCTTTTTCTCATACTGCCTGTGCTGCAGCACCTCTTTTCACCCTCTGTCTGAAACCATAGCCCTGTCTGTTCTGATTGGTTAGTTGGCCGGCTCTGTTGTGACTTTTGAACCGCTTGGAGGTATCCCACCCCTTACCCCCTAATCCCACCAGGAGCGTCTGCGCTGCGGCGGTTTTAGCGATCGCGGCCACTCTAGTCAATGAGTGCTATTCCACCAGACCCGCTGCGCTGCGCCGCGGGTCGAAGCGTCCCAGAAGCTCCTCGCCGCAAGGAATTTCTAAAATATAGGATGAATCCAATTTTTGACGCGGCGCAGCGCAGCGCAGGCAGGAAGTGGAACGTTCATCCAACAACTGCGAGGCTGCACACACGACGCTCCGCTTCCGCAACGTTTTGAAACGCGCCTGGTGGGTTATGACGCAGGAGGAGGTCGCAGCGCGGCGCAGACGCTTCCGGTGGGATCAGGGGGTTAGCCTATCAGATACAATGTGCTGCCAGTAGAAGAGCGAGTGTCACATAGTGATGTTACTGAAGTAAATAAAGGAGTCCAATCAGGGCGGGATTTGAGCCTTTGCAGACCATTTACAAGCACAAAGACCTATATAACACACTTTGAGTGGGAAAACCAAAAAAAGCATAAAAGGGCCTCTTTAAAAAGGAACCAATCAGCTACCCTTTTCATGGATGTCATGCCACGTAAAAAATGACATAAACCGGTTTGTTTTTTTAAACACCATGATGGTTTTCACTTGGTTTCATACAATAACACCAGTAAAATAAGTGATTTATGTGTTATAAAAAATATATTGAAATTGCTCAGTTTTCCATTCTGCCTGTCAGTGAACACGCTGTTTCTGCCCTGAACACTTCAGATGTCTGGGTGTTTACTACCTTGTTCTTAGCACTACACTAGGCACAAATCCCAGGAGACTCTGTGACTCTACCAGAAGATACGCCATGTTCAAATTTTCCAAACAGTAACAACAAAGCTGGCTTTAATCCTTTATTTAGCCTCCAACGTAACATGCCAACTTATTAGAATGATCTGTGAATATGTGCGCAGCTTTTTATTTGATGTCTCTTCATGTGAATTACCTGCGAGGTGCAGAGGTGTGGAGTTGCGTCCCTGCGTGTCCCGACAGTTGATGTTTTCGGGGCTGCAGAGCTTCTGCACCCGGGCCAGGCAGCCTTTCTTTGCGGCGTCCAGCAGCGCGGCGTCCCCTCGCAGCAGGTCCTGGATGTCCGTGTCCCCGTCCTTCACCAGGTCCAGAGGCGTGTTCCCGTCTCGGTTCTTCTTGGTGGGATCTGCTCCGTGCTGCAGGCCAAAACAGAAAAGGAGGAAACAAAGATTTTCTTTAAAAACAAAGGCAAGGCAAGGCAAGGCAAGTTTATTTATATAGCACTTTTCAACACAAGGCAATTCAAAGTGCTTTACAAAAAATGAAAGAGATTAAGAAAATGGCATTTAAAATCAGTCATTAAAAAGAAAAGCTAATAAATTAAACATTAAAAGAAAAAAGTACATGGATAAAAGTTACAGTGCAGTCTAAGATATGAATAGTTCAATTAAAAGCAGCGACAAAAAGAAAAGTCTTCAGCCTGGATTTAAAAGTAGTCAGAGTTGTAGCGGACCTGCAGGTTTCTGGGAGTTTGTTCCAGATATTTGGAGCAAAATAACTGAATGCTGCTTTACCATGTTTAGTTCTGACTCTGGGGACAGAAAGCTGACCAGTCCCTGAAGACCTGAGAGATCTGGATGGTTCATAATTGAGCAGGAGGTCAGAAATGTATTTTGGGCCTAAACCATTCAGTGCTTTATAAACCAGCAGCAGTATTTTGAAATCTATTCTTTGACACACAGGAAGCCAGTGTAAAAACTTCAGAACTGGAGTGATGTGATCCACTTTCTTAGTGTTAGTGAGGACTCGAGCAGCGGCGTTCTGAATCAGCTGCAGCTTCCTAATAGATTTTTTAGTGAGACCTGTGAAGACACCATTGCAGTAGTCGAGTCTACTGAAGATAAAAGCATGGACAAGTTTTTCCAAATCCTGCTGTGACATTAGTCTTTTAATCCTAGATATATTCTTTAGGTGATAGTAGGCTGATTTAGTAACAGTTTTAATGTGACTGTTGAAACTCAGGTCAGAGTCCATGAATACACCTAGATTTCTGGCTTTATCTGTTGTTTTGAACATTGCAGACTGAAGCTCAGCGCTAACTTTTATACGTTCTGCCTTGGCTCCAAAAACCATTACCTCAGTTTTATCTTTGTTTAATTGGAGAAAGTTCTGACACATCCAGTCATTGATTTGTTCAATGCACTTACTCAGTGTTTGAATTGGAGCATAGTCTCCTGGTGAAATTGTTACGTACATTTGTGTGTCATCTGCATAGCTATGGTAACTTATTTTGTTGTTCTTCATTATCTGAGCCAGTGGTAGCATGTAGATGTTAAAGAGAAGAGGCCCCAAGATGGAGCCTTGAGGAACCCCCACATGTCATATTTGTCAACTCAGATGTGTATTTACCTATAGAAACAAAGTTGTTTCTGTCCTTTAAGTAGGATTCAAACCAATTCAGAACTGTTTCCGAAAGTCCCACCCAGTTTTCCAGTCGGTCTAGTAATATGCTGTGGTCAACAGTGTCAAACGCAGCACTGAGATCTAATAATACTAACACTGAAGTTCTGCCACTGTCTGTGTTTAAGTGGATGTCATTAAAGACCTTTACAAGTGCAGTCTCAGTGCTGTGGTTTGGACGAAAGCCTGACTGGAACACATCAAAACAGTTATTTAAATGCAAGAAATTACTCAACTGTTGAAAAACAACTTTTTCAATGATTTTACCTAGAAATGGCAGGTTTGATATGGGCCTGTAATTGTTCATTACTGAAGCATCTAGATTATTATTTTTTAAGAGCGGTTTAATGACTGCAGTTTTCAGGGCCTGTGGAAAAATACCTGAGTGAAGAGATTTGTTTAATATATGAAGTAGATCTGAGGCCATGCAAGGCAAAACATCTTTGAAAAATCCTGTTGGAATAATATCAAGGCAGCAGGAGGAGGATTTCAGAAGTTGAATAATGTCCTCTAGGTTTTTATCATTAATCTGATGGAATTGTGTCATGATGTCTGAATTGATGTTAAGTGGAGATAGGGACAACACATTTGCTGTTCCTGATGCAGAGGCACTGACTGCTTGTCTGATTTTCTGAATTTTGTCAGTGAAAAATGAGGCAAAATCATTGCACGCCCTGGTGGATAGAAATTCAGAGGCTACTGACACTGGGGGGTTAGTTAGTCTGTCGACGGTAGCAAACAAGGCACGTGCGTTGTTTTTGTTTTTGGTAATGATTGGTAATTTGTTTTTCAATTCCAAATTATAAAGGCCAAGTCTCTCTTTATAGATTTCAAAGTGAACCTGGAGATTTGTTTTTCGCCACCTGCGTTCAGCTTTTCGACATTCTCTTTTTTCTGTTTTCACGGTCATGGCCTTTCTCCATGGAGATATTTTCTTGCCAGACACTTCCTTTACCTTAGTTGGAGCAATGGCATCTATAACATTTTTAATTTTTGAATTAAAATGATCTACTAGCTCATTTACTGAGATGTTGGCAGGGGCAAGTGTGGAAGAGAAATTCTGAGTAAACATTTCCCTAGTATTTTCAGTTAAACATCGCTTTGTGGTTACCTCTTTTTGAACATTTTTGTGAACAGAAATAGAGCTCTCAAAGAAAACACAGGAATGGTCAGAGAGTGCAACATCAGTCACCACAACCTTAGAGATATTCAGACCCTTTGAGATAATTAAGTCCAGAGTGTGCACCTTATTGTGCGTGGGCTCCGTCACATGCTGAGTCAGTCCATAGCTATCAAGAACACAAAACAGTTCTTTAGCCCCTCTGTCCTGGGGGTTGTCAACATGGATGTTAAAATCACCAACAATGACTAGACGGTCAAAGTCAATACACACTATAGACAGCAGTTCAGTAAAGTCATCAAAAAAGCTTGCACAGTATTTGGGTGGTCTATAGATATTTAGGAACAGAGCTCGAGAGGAGCATTTCAGCCGAAGGGCCACATATTCAAAATAATCAAAGTTTCCATACGATGTCTTCCTGCATTGAAGGGAATCATTGAACAGAATAGCAACTCCACCCCCTTTCTTATGCATTCTTTCCTGACTCATAAAACTAAAGTTGGGAGGGGTTGATTCGATAAGAACAGCTGCACTGTTATTTTGTTCAATCCAAGTTTCTGTTAAAAACATAAAATCGAGATTGTGCTCAGTGATTAAATCATTGATTAAAAATGTTTTTCCTGCCAAAGACCTGACATTTAATAAAGCTAGTTTAAGTTTGTTAAACACACTATCAGTCATGTTTTTTGTAACAAGCTGTGGCTGACATGGAATCACTGCTAAATTAGATACACTCACACAAACGTTTGAGCGCTTCCTGTTTCTATGATTCACCGCTCTTAATCTATTACCTATCAACACAGATATCGGCAAAGCTACTGGCAGGCAGGGCCCTGACATGTCCTGGAAAGAGTTAAGAGTGCCATACGCCCTTGAGCCTGGACCCATCACATATCAGTAAGAGTTTGTTGTGTTTTGTACACACACATCCTTATCAGGCTTCGGAGACTGCAGATGCCCCCTCGAAGGGAGGGGAGGTGGTCGACGTAGGCACGGTGATGGAGACGGGCTAGATGGTGCGGGGGTAGAGGACATGCTGCCAGGGGGGGGAGGTGGTTGACATAGGCGCGGTGATGAGGACGGGGGAGATGGTGCGCGTCTCCGCGGTGATTTTGGTGGGCGTCGTTGAGGAGCGGGGGTAAAGGACATGGTGCCAGCCCTGCGTATCGCCTTCGTTTGGTCTTTGAACTCCAGGAAGGAATCGGTGCCAACCCTCTGTATCTCCTTTGTGTGTTCATCGATCTCCAGGAGGGTGGGCGAGGGTGAAAGGGTGAGCGGAGTATCCTCAAAGGCGTTGACAGGGGGGGGGGGCAGTGGAGACTCCTCCATGTGTCTCATATGTCTCCCATAATCAGAACATTCCTCAGGCGGGTGCAGTGATAATTCTTCAGGGTTTTCTGCGTGATGTGTTGTGTCTTTCTCGTGTTTTGATTCCTCTTGCCGCTTGTCCTTGGCAGAGGGAACAGATTGATGACGCAGGCAGTTGAATATGTTAGAGATAAACAATTTCACTCCTGACTTGTTCAGGCAAACTCCATTTGCCTTGAAAAGATGTCTGCGATCCCAGAAAAAGTTAAAATTGTCAATAAAATGAACAGAATGGTCAGTACAGGCCGTTGAAAGCCAGGTGTTCAGTGCAAACAATCTGCTGAATCTCTCCACTCCTCTTCTGACTGGCGGTAGAGGGCCACTGATGAACACCTCTGCATTTAGAGAGCTGGCAGTTTCCAACAAACATTTAAAGTCTTCTTTCAGCACTTCTGACTGTTGTTTCACAACATCATTTGTTCCAATGTGCAGTACCACATTCTTCACAGTCGGATGTTCAGCCCCAATATGCAGGATCTTCTCAGCCAAGTCAGAGACCACATCCTTGGGAAAACAGAGTACTTTGGTGTTGTTCTTATTACACAGACCTTTTACATCTCTTACAGCAGAGTCACCCACAATCAGAGTTTCAGGCCCAGTCGTTAGCTTTCCCTCTAGCCTTTTACTTTTAGAGTAGCTATTGGTCCTTACCCTGCTGTGTGAAGAGGACAGGTTATCCAGGTCATCAGATCTCCGGTTCTCGGTCAGCGGAGCGTATCTGTTCTGGATTGGCACACTTGGTGGTTTAGGAGGATTGTTTGTAATTCTCCCTTTAGCAGCTGTCCACTGCTGTTTCCTAGTATGAATAGGGGTTGAAGAGGCGCTCCTCCTGGGTGATGACAATGCAGGCCAGCCGGTCGCATCACAGATTTCGGAGCTCTGGGCTCTGCCTGTTATCCGTCCTCCCAAATCCCATGGAAGTGATTTACTCTTAGGCTTTGCACCCAGAGAGTTCCAGGGAGGACTATCACTTGTAGATTTATTACCCGGTACACAGCCCTCCTGTTCCTTGGAATCCTTGTAGCTGCTAACTAGCTGTGAGTTAGCATACCCTTCTCCATTACTTTGCAACACTGGTAAAGTCGTGTCATTCCCACGACATAGTCCATTCACTTCCACGTTAACTTCCAACCGTTGCATTTTCATTTCCAACACAGCCATCTTCTGTATAAGTTTCTGGAAGTCATCTGTAGAGAACGGAGGCATTTTGCTACCAACTAGCTTAAGCTAAATAGCAGTAGCCTACCA